TTGCATAAGTCCCACCTATGTGACCTTTGTGTCCCACTTTGAAAAGACTAGATCGGTGTTTCCTTGAGAGACACTGATCTAGTCCAACCCCCTACTCAAAGCAGACCATACCCAGCTATCCCATTCCAGCCAGGGCTTTGAGTCAGGCCTTAACCTCTAAGGATGGAGATTCCATCAGCTCTCCAGGTAACCCATTCCAGTGCTGAACCACCCTCCTAGTGAGAGTTTTTCATTATATCCAACCTAAACCTCCCTTGCTGCAACTTGAGACCATTGCTCCTCATTCTGTCGTGTGTCACTGCTCAATAGTGTTGTTCACTTGAGAGTGAGAATCTCTTTCGGCAATTTACTGTATTTCAAACCGGAGGGTACACACTTGCCTATTCACAAGTAATGTTCTATGTATAGAAATAAGCAGGGGTGACTGGTGCCTCCTGAGTCTGGGGCGCGGCACAGTTGTGGACTGGAAACTGTGAACTGGAAGTGGCCGGCCTGGCAAACTGCATATCACCAGCCAGAACACAGGTAGAGCCGTCTCCAGCCCTCAGGCTGGATCCAAACCACAGGTGCCGCAGGCCCTGCGGGAGGAGCTGCAGCCTCTCCGCCTGGCTTTGCAGGGTTGTGGCTTGCAGTCCTGAGCAGTGCCATGTCAGGGGCAAATCTCAGGGGAGGCACGTGCCCTGTGGTGGCCCCCCTACCAGTTGCCTGTGGAAATAAGGATGCGTGACTAACCTGAGTCCAGCTTCATTGATGTATTAGATGATTATCAAATAGTTTTATTGCGGGAGGAAACTGGTGCCTAGTAGCTAAATACCAAAAAAAATATAGTAACTAGTAGGCAGTTGGAGTGTTTTTGTTTGCCTTCCTGTATGGAATAGGAACATACACAGTCAGAAGCCTTTATTCTGAGGGCTGTACATCTTTATAGTTGAAAGCTGCTTTTTATTCCTTGCACAACTTGATTGATTCATTGCTGAATGGAAAGTTAAACAGTTGATGTTTAACTAACGGCTATACAGACTAGGATTTTTCTGTAAACAAGAAAAGGAAAAACCTCAAGTGTTGCTCTAAGGATGTTTCAGAAGAGTGTAATGGGTTAAAGAGATAAGTATTGGCTGTGGTGAGAAAGCACTTATGAATGGGTTTAGATACAAAAAAGTATTAGGAACAATTTCTCTTTGCTAGAAACACTTGCAGATATAATAATCGATTCTTTTTTTTTTTTTTTTTCCCAGACTTAATGTTGGTTTGGGTGCGATTTATTTAGTTTGCGATACTTTCATACAACAGTCTTTATACCATTGACAGTTGTACAAGTATAAAAGTGCCTTTCTGGTTCAGCTTATGTTATTTGAGGATCAGTTACAAGTTATGTTCGCTAAAATGCTTCTTTTTTGGCTGATAAAGTGATGTTTCCAATGTGGGGTTTGCCAGCTTTTAAAACCTTTTAAAACAGAACTTTTTCCTTGTGCAAAGGTGGTCAAAGCCAGTCCTAAGCATAATACACTTTACCCAAGTTCAGTTGCTGTGCTCTGATCTTTCAAACATTAACACACATGCTTAACGTTAAGCAGATGAGGAATCGCAAGTCCTTGCTTGAAGTCACTAAGCTGTATGCTCAAAGTTAAGCTTGGCTGCAAACATTTGCTGGACTGGCACCCTGATACAGACATTTGGCCAGACTTTGTGCTGATTTGTTTTTTTAAGTAGGCTTGTACATAACCGGAGTGACTTATGGCACGTGGAGATGGTGGGTATAAGTGCAGCATTTGGTTCCATTGTTACTAACATTTTGATTAACTGCAACGCTCATACAGTTGGTTTTTCAGATAAGCTTGTTGGTGTGTTTTTTGTCTCTTATTTTATGTTTTATTTTATTTTATTTTTTTTATGGAGGGGGTTATAGGGCTATAGTAAAAGTGGGGGGAAATTCAGTATCACTGTTCAATGTGGCGTTGAAGTACTAATGCTCCTACCATCACTGGCACTTTTGTTTTGTAGGACTTAATGAAACACATATACTAATAACTAAGGTCCCAAATCAACAAGTTGTTGAAACACAATCATAGAATTGTAGGGCTGGAAGGGATTTCAAGGGATCATGTAGTTCAACCCTTTGCACTGAGGCAGGATCAAATCTGCCTCAATGCATGTATGTAATTCTAAATCCATAAGGAATTCCATTGACTTTGAGTGCTTGAGTAGTTGCACTGAAGTTAAACGTATGCTTAATTTAAATTGGGCATAAAGTGGAAGAAGGTAGTCTGACCAAAGACACAGAACAGGGGTTTCAACCTTTTTTTAAGGAGTGTACCCCTTCTGGAGTGTACCCCCTTCTAGACAGGGTAGGAGGGGGGCAGGGGAGGTGCTGATGGCTGGCCGGTGAGCTGGGGTGGGAGGTGCAGATGGCTAGCTGGATACGAAGCTGGCAGCAGCACGGGGAAGTAATGTGCAGTGGTGGCGGGGAGTGGGGAGCTCACACGTAGCAGCCACCACCACCATTTACCATGCTGCTCCGTTTCTTCACACTACCGTGTGTACCTCCTGGGGCCGTCCCAAGTACCCCAGGGGTACGCATATTTCCGGTTGACAACCCCTGACAAAAGATTTTATTTTTTCAAAATAATGAACAGGTGATTATATAGCACATTAAATTTACAGAATGGCTTTTCTGAAAAAAACCCCCAAAAAAACAAAAACAATTTAGCAGGTGAAAAATATTTTCATATAGTTAATAATACTTCTTCTACAAAATCATCTTTCAGCCAAGAAAGTCAATCCAAAAATGGCCACCATTCATGTAGGTCTTACTAAGGACCGTAATTTGTGTCACACATGCCAGTTTAGAGCAACTAATTAATTTATCCTCAGGTCTTTGTGAAACCCTGCTGGTAAGACACTGGTAAACAGAACATGGTTCGACTCACTTTTGTTGCATTAGGAAAAAGAGGCATAAATATTTGCTAGATGGAAATTGGCCAAATAGGGCTGCAGATCAGAAGAACATTTAACCATATGCTTAAATTCTTCCCTGTTCAGCAAAGCCAAAGCATCCTTAAGTGAATAAGGATGGACTGATGGCAAAAGAAGACATTTTAATTTGAGAATATAATCCAAACAATGAAGGAAATGGCTATAACAAAAGCCAGTGATTGAATATAATTTTAAGACTGCAATGAGTGTAAAATCCAAATGCGCCTCACACTCCTATCTTGTGAAACTTAAAGCAATTTACATTTTCATTCTGAATGAGGAGGTTTGACTCCAGCCAAGAAGTGATTTTAGCTGGCATTGCATGGTACATGGTGTGATATTGGCAAGACATCTCTTTGCTGGATTGGGGATAACCTTAGATAGAGAACAGCTTTTCTTAGAAAACTGATTATTAGATTGTCTGAAATTAGCATGGTTTTTGAAACATGGATTTTCTTTTGTTAGTTCATTCTCATCCCAAACCCTGATTTTTTTTTTTTTTTAATTTTTTTTTGACCTTCTTTCTAACTGCTTTTCTCAGAGCAAGCTTAGACACCCACATCATAGAAGAGAGAATGACTTTGCTATAGCTGCTTGTAATGAATTAGCCAAAAAAAAAAAAAAAGGTCCTTACTGCTTAAGTGAATTTCATTACAGAAAGGGGAAGATTCATCATCAATAATATGTGATGAAGTTTGTAGCGCTCTGAGTGATTTCCTCCTCCACATGCACTTTTGACGCTCTTGGGCAGTTTTTTCTATAAGGCAGCGCTAATTGCTTTTCAGATTCACCGATTCCATTTCATGAATCATGTAATGGAGAAGATGCAAACTCCTAAAGTAAATATGTATCTATGTAGTAAGTGAGCAAATTATATGCTTACTATTCTGACTGGGAAAGGGGGTCTTTATAGGGCAAGAAATCTACACCCAGGCTCTGTTACATGGCCAGAATAGCATAAAGGAGTATATACGTAGAATGAGGCTCCTTCTCTTCTGACTGTTTTAGACTGTTGCCCATCAGGAGGTTGGCAAGATTTCTATTATGCATCTTCCTAAACCAGAATTTGTAAATGTCTATTTCCATTATTCTTTCTCAATTCCAGGAACTACCCCAGAAACGAGGGGAATCTTTGAGGGGATTGAGAGCAAATTTTCTTTAAGGACACCTGCTATACCTGATGAGGACATTTGCTACTTGGTACCTGGCCAAAAGGACTCACTGGCACACTGCAGCTTTAACCACACCAGCAAAACCTTCCTGGTGATCCATGGATGGACGGTAAGGGGAAGCTCGAACCTGTACTTGAGCTTCACTGAGGTGCCTGTAAAGTTCACTTGGGTGTAGGTATGGTCTAAGGACACAGGCAGACAAGGTTCTTTGGGTGAATCTGATATCTAACAAATGATAGATGAAATTTGTAAGGTTTGCTTGGAATTTGTCTTTAACTGTCACGATAGCAGGTTCTGTATTAACTCACCTGTCCAAGCGCACTACAATGCCATAAATAATTGCTATGATTACACAGCAAGTGCCAGAAGGGCTGTGATCGCACAACCCTTGCTTGAAGTGTCTTTATAGTGGAATAAATTTAACTTTCTTCCCTTTTTTTCTGTGACTCAAAAATAAGTCTTGTGGCCTAGATACAGCCTGCAGAGACCCATCATTTGGGCCCTGGGTCCCAGAGTTGACTGAGATGTGTACATTGCACATGCAGGATGATTGCTGCACATGGGGCCCTTGACCCATGCTGCATACAGTGCCTGCTTTGGCCAATCTGGGATAGCACGGTGCATCCACTCTTGCTGGCCTGGGATGGTGCTGCATGTGTGCCTATCTTGGCTGGTCCAGTGCTGTGTGGCACATGGTGGTCAGTCTGGGACCTGTGCTGCATACAGCATCTGCCTTAGCTGGCCTGGGGTGGGTACCATGTGCAGCATGGGTCCCAGATTGTCTAAAGCAGGTTCAGAGTACAGCACATGTCCTAGACCAGCCCTACATAGGCACGGTGTGGTGTAATCCCGGTGTGGGTATCATGTACAGTGGATCTGGCATTCTGGGGGAGGGGTGGATGGTCAATGGGCCTGACCTGGTCCTGTAGATCGGCCCTGCACCATTCATTTGATCCACAGAGCCAGATTAATTTGACACTCCTGCTTTAGCATTAAGGAGCAGTGACTCTTACCATGTATAGCAAAGAGAAGTTCAGCACTTGGATAAGGCTTCCAGGTGCTACTGCAGTACAACTGATCATTTCAAATCTCTGTTTTCAGGTAACTGGGATGTATGAGAGCTGGGTGCCAAAACTGGTGGATGCTCTGTATAAAAGAGAGCCTGACTCTAATGTCATTATTGTAGATTGGCTAACTAGAGCCCAGCAACACTATCCAGTATCTGCTGCATACACTAAACTGGTGGGAAAGGACGTGGCCTCTTTTATTGACTGGATGGAGGTAAGATATCTAGGTTTCATTACTGCAGATTCTGTATAAGTTCTCTGAGACGCAACAGTTTAATGGTACAGTTTAGGCTAGGTATATCCTAAGCCTTCTGCCAGCACAGCCTTATTAGTGAGAGTTTGAAAAGGGATCATCTCTGACTGAGACAGCTGTACCTGAATAATTCCTTAGTACAGATGAGGTTGTATGTGCAGAATTGTACTTTCACAGCTACAGCTTGTTTCACTTGTGAAGTGTGGTTTTACTGCAGTGGGTGACTTTTATTGTAGTGGTACAAAATATGAAGCTCCATTGCATCCACACCAGGGCTATTTTTCCTGCTAGTCATAAAGAACTTGGTGCAGATTTAGGCTTTTGTACTATCTCCATTCTAGGTTTCTTTGAGGAGGAAAGCCATCAGGAAAGTCCCTGGATTATTTTTCTAACAATCTATTTTAATCTAATCTTAAATTCTTTAAAACACAATACATATCTGACTAGCTTGGGGAGAGCCTGTCACTGGAAGGGTGCGTTCCCGCTCCCCTTTTAGCTCTTTCAATTCCAGAAAGATCCTGATGAACCAGACAGTATTCAGGGAAAATAAGATGGGAACAGAGGAGGATGCATTATCAAGAAAAGTTGACAGAATTACTGTATTTACTCAAATCCAAGACATTCAACTTGGTGGGTGGGGTGTGGGGGGAGGTGGAGAGAGAACCCCTTGTCTTAGATTTTGAGTACAAGTGGGAGAGGCAGTGCCTCTGAGTCCAAGCTTGGTGTTAGTCAGAACTAGAACCATTGCCCCCCACCTACCCTCCCTAGCTTTGGCTTCCTGTTGCCACCCTCCTGCTGCCTCTGAAGTGAATGGTAGTTCATTTCAATATCAGTTTCCTACTTGACAATAAGGTTGGACCTGTGGGAATAAGAACATAAGAATTGTTTCAGTGTTTTTTTTTTTTTTTCTTTTAAATAAGACCTTGTTTTCAAAGGTGCTCATCAAAATCAGTAGTTGAACTGAGGCAAGTAGAAGAATTGTGCTTACTGACTTTCTTGAATAGTACTTACCTATTGCCCAGCTTTGTGATTCTGATAGTGGCCAATGCCAGATTCTTCAGAAGAAAGTACAGGAAACTCCAAAGCAGATAAATATGAAATAACTTGTCATTAGGACAATCTCTTCTTAACTCCTGTTTGTTAGTGACCAGCTGATGGCCTTAAAGAAGAAGGATTTGTGTGCATAAAAATATCTTATGTATGTTCTCACTAGCACTATTAATGTTTGAAGCACTGTTTTTTTTTCTTTCCCCCCAGGGAAAATTAGATTAATATCTTAAGGCCTTGTCTTCCCTGGG